GTTCCACTGAGTCACTGGGTCATCTTTCCACAGTGTAGCGAGAGTAATAAATACTTCAGATTGTGTGTGTGCCTGTACCAGATGCTATGTTGGTAATGGACAAACAAGGATGAATGCTCCAGCTATGGGCATTTGGCTCAGGTTACCCACAGTCTATGTGGGAGGCAGGTAAGGACCAGGTAACAGAAGATTAAAACAAAAGCTTATGTGGTTACAACAATGAATCTGTAGCTTGTCAACCCAGATTTAACAGAAGGTTAGGAAAATCCAGAAGAATCATTTCAAAACTGTATCTTACTCACTAGCTTCTTGTTTAAAAAAATAATAATAATAATAATGGGGTGCCTGGGTGGCTCAGTGGGTTAAAACCCCTGCCTTCGGCTCGGGTCATGATCCCGGGGTCCTGGGATCGAGCCCTGCATCGGGCTCTCTGCTCCCCTTCTCTCTCTGCCTGCCTCTCTGCCTATTTGTGATCTCTGTCTCTCAAATAAATAAATAAAATCTTTAAAAAAAAAAGTTATATACTCACATCTGTAGGACTTTTATTTTTTTTTTTCTTGCCCTATTCCTCTGGCTATGACTCCCAGTACTATATTGAATAAAACTGTTAGAAATGAACATCTTTGTCTTGTTCCCATTCTTAGGGAGAAAGCATTTCGTCTTTCACAATTAAGTATGAGGTTAGTGGTAAACTTGCGGTTTTCACTCTTGGCCAAGTATCAAAGAATAAGCTCTTCGAATAGAAATTTTAATGAAATATAGATATTGGAGTAGGGAGAAACTCTGTCACTTTTAGCTATCTCATATCTCCCCCCCTTCCTCATATAACAATGCTTGGATTTTTCCCTTAGGGGAAGCCAAAATTTCTCCACCACCACAGTTCTAGCACAGTGGGCAGGGGAGTCAGGTCTGGTCAATTCAACTATCCCACCCTATGGTCCAAGTATTTAGTCCAAGAAAATTCAAATGTGGGACTTCTTTAGAATTATTACATAAGGCTCTCTTTCCACTAGACTTACAGATTAGGGATCAACAAAGTATGACCCATGACTGAAATCTGGCTTCTACCTGTTTTTATAAATAAAGTTTAATTGAAATGTAGCCATACCCATTGTCGATGGCTGCTTTTGAGCTACAACAGCAAAGCTGATTAGCTACAATAGTGACCAGAGGGCTCCCAAGGCCTAAAATAATTACTCTCTGGCCTTTTAACAGAATAAGTTTCCTGGCTCCTGTTCTTGATAATGTAAACCTGGAACAGTCTGAAAGCCTATCACCATAACTGGAAAGAACCTACTAGAAATACCAACACAAAAGAAGAAACCAACTCCAAATATTATGGAAGTTTCTGGATTCAGATGGGCTGGAACTATTATATCCCAACTTATTTTAAGTTCCATAAGCCAATAAATCCAGCTTTTTCTCAGGCCAAGTATAAATGAGGCTTCCTTCATTTGAATTTAAATTAACAGCATAGATAAAAACTATAAAGCTCATTGCAGAACCACAACTCTAATTTCTTCCTCCATTATATATCCATGAATACCATAAAGACATTCAAAATTTCTTTTCAACTAGAAAGTCACTGAACGCTAAAAACTGTAATTTATGTAACAATTAACTAAAACTGTAAAATCAACTAATTCAGGGCTCATTTAGACTGTTTTTCCAACCAATCATACTAAGGTGTTATTAAACGATAAAAGAACAAAAAGGATGCAAACCAAAGTTACCCCCCTCCAAAAAAAAAAAAAAAGAAAAAGAAAAAAGAGAGAGATTCAACACAGAATAATCATTCACAGAACCACTGAGCTCTAAGTATAAAACAAAAGTTAGGTGCTGCCATTGTAATCTCCCTGATACAAGGCTAACACTCCAAAACCAGCTAAGGAAATAGGTTTCTGCTTCCCTTACCAAAGCCAAAACTTCTAAGGGGATAGATTTAACTAATTAGGCAGACTGTGATTAAAACTGGAGCTGCTAATTTTCTACTGGGTATGTGTCTCCAAGAATGTCCCCTAGAGGCTCTCAGCAATGGGAGACAAAATTAAGCCTAATATTCCTGCCACCTATGCAGTTACCATTTGTCTGTTTCTCTCTCTTCAGGAAACTGAAAAGTACACAGAGATGTTGTTCTCAATGTAAGCTATATGTTCCTGTGAGGAAATAATTTTATATTATGTTTAGAAATAGAATTATTTTGTGTTTAAACTTGTTTTAATGTGTACATTCTGGAGCAAGGAGATGTTTTCTTTCAACAGCATGCTTTCCATCTGCAGAAGCCAGATGTTAATCTACAGGAAAACTCAAGTGGTTAGTAAGACCAATTACATACAGACAGAGAACAAATATCAAATGGCAGGGAGAGGGAGGAAGGGGAGGTTTAAAATGGGAGTTGGTAAAGTCGTTGTAGAACTGCAGCTTACGGGGCTGGGGAAACCTAAAAACAGTGGGGATTTTATCCATACCAAGAATAGTATGCCCTGACAAGATTTTTTTTCTTCCTGGGTACTTGCTCCCCTAGAATTGAAGAATCATTCAAGAAACTCAGATAAAGTATGTAAAAATGAAATGAGTGAGAATTCTTGAAGGCATCTTCAAGATGCCTATTAATCTCCATTAATGATAAAAATCAAACAATCTCATCTCTATTAATGATAAAAACCAAACACATCTAGGACTATGCATGGGTTCAAATTCTACCTCTGCCACTTTGATGGAAACTGTCCGCCACCCTACAGTCTTCTTTCTGGAAGTGACAAAATACCCAGGGTACTGGCAGTCCATGGCTGCCTACATTCAACCTAGATTTCCCATCCTCCCCTGTAGATAGATGTGGCCAATTTAAGTATGTTAGGGCCAGTGGAAGTGATATGTGCATCCTTGAGGTCCTGAATACTTTCATCTCCATTAACTGGCTGAAAAACAGCAATGACTAGTAGAGCAACTTCGAAAGTCATGAGTTGAGTATGGCCGAATGACCCTGCAAAGCATGGACTGCTCACTTTCAGGCTTGGAGAGAGAAATCAACTTCTATGTTACTTAAGCTACTACACTTTGGAGTCTCCTTGTTATGGCGACCTAACCTGAACCCTACCACTATAGCCACTTACTGTCTGTGCTACTAAGCCAAGTTACTAAAGCTAAGTCTCACTTTCCTCAACTATAAAATGGTAGTATTTTGTGATGTCCTAAGAGTATACTTATTTAATAAGGTACTAAGAAGAATAAATGGGTTAAGACATGTAATATGCCAAATCTGTGACTTACACACACAAAAGAGCTCAATTAAGGGTAATGGTAGCAAAGATAAAGGACAACTTAGGAAGGGGCTTTCAAATGCCTCTGACAACAAGCAGCTATTGTGCCCATGAAACCCTAATGGTAGAAATGTCTATCTACTCTATAGATACAGCAGAAGTGCCTTCTCTTCCAGCCTCTTTGGTCTTGGCTGCAGAAACCAGATGAGGAAAGGGACATCATCATTTGAAAAGCATCACGTTAAGACACACACATTGTGTCCCCACTGCTCTAAGGCCTACAACCTTCAGAAGTTGACTTGTGGTAAATGTGGCTATCCTACCAAGTAGAAAAGGAAGTATAACTGGATTGCCAAGGCTAAAATATGAAATACCCCTGGGACTGGTCAAATAGACACCTAAAAGTTGTCTACCACAGATTCAGGCCTGGACTCTGTGAAGGAACAAAACTTTGACCCAACAGGGGAGCTGTGGCAGCATCTAGTTCATCTTAAGAATTTCAATAATCAGTCACACAATAAATAACCGTCCTGGTTTTAAAAAAAAAAAAAAAAAAGCAAGCAAGAAAGAAAAAGAATGAAAGGAAGGAAGGAAAGAAAGAAAAAAGTATCTGCTTTGAGAGTTTCCATCACTAACAATGTATTCAGAGAAAACAAGGGGTAATTTAAAGGTACTGCAGAAGAATTAAGATTAAATAATGTTCAATTCGAATTTAGCTGTTCCAAACTCTTTAAATCTTGCTCTATGTTATTAAATACTATCCAAACAGTAGTTATTTGTTTCTGCTCAGTTGATTGGAGTTTCACATTTATATACAAAATAGCTAAGTAGAAAGACACATTCATCAATATAGATCACCTAACCTGGGTAGGCTGAGAAACATACAAATGAACTGGAATCATCTATGATTGCATCTTGATGCAGAATTCTGTACTCAATGAAGGTTGTGGCCTGATGGCTTTGCGCACATTCCCCGCTCTGGATAGTGCCTCTGCAAGTTATAACTACTGGCCCTATGACACTGGATTCTTTTTTATCTTTTGTATTCCTAGGATGTACTCTTAGGATTTCTATAACCCTGGTATCTGCTGAATACTGCAGCTGAGATCTTTGGCACCAAGGTAAGGCCACTATTTTTGACTTTAGGGACTCCCCCAGGGCCCTGACATGAGATTTACATGTCACACAATACAGGAAAACCACCAGACTACATCAACCAGCAAAGGCCAGGATCTCGAAAATGGGAGCACAGATCATACTACCAAGGCTTAAATCCTTCCATCTACACTGATAATCCCACTGTATATAATGGGATGTGGGCTACCATGGCAAGGGAATGCTGAACCAGAAGGCAATGAGAAAAGATACTACATAATCTATATACACTTCTAAAATCAGGTATCCCATTCAGATAGGTTTGAGATAATGTTTTGCATCCTACTCCATGGAGACATCAATATTCAGTAAGCCAGACTCTGCCTCCTCTAAGAGACCCAAGGACACTACAGTTGCCTTGGCTACCACATAGCCTGAAAGTCCTGAAGGACTGAGAGGCCAAAGCTCAGGGACTGCAACCACACAGAAACAGTTTCATTATCGATGAAAGTTCAAGAGTAGAAGACGTCCTCTGGTACACTGGAAACCAAGGCTTTAGATAGAGAGCAAAAATCACTGCACTTGGGAAGCAACAAACAACTCGGGGTCTTTATTTCTATTCTACTTCCCTGAATTGTTACTTACAGGTTCCCGGCCATCCATGGCTTCCATCCAGAGCCTCCGGTCTTCTTCCGACAATGCCTGCATGGTGATAACCCCTGGCCTGTGGAGAAAGGAGGACACAAACATGAACCCAGTGTCACTGGTAGAGAGATTCTGATGAACGTGACACTTCAAGAAATACCCAAACAACAGAGTGAGAGATTGCTAGGATTAACAAATGAAGACAGGCACACAGGCAGCTGTCAGAGTCACCTTTCAGTCTCAGAAAGCAAAGTCATCTCCTGAATTCCCCTCAATAAACCTGTGCCCCTCAGGGAGCTAGGAAAAAACACAGCAGACATTACCCTACTACTTACAGTTAAGGGACACAAATGACTAAAGTGATTCCTTTAGACCCTGTTTTTGTTCCTTCAGGTCTTATTCATTCTTATTCTCCAAAATGTGTAACAGAGACCTTTACTCACAGTATGATAGCAATTCATATGTATTAAAGCGAACAGAATCACTGGACTCAAGATTAAAAAGAGAGGAAACAATCAAGCTGGGGGGACGCTGGCCTCTTAACCTCTAATCCAAGGTTTCTAAACTCCTTTTGACATGGAGATGTTTTATGATAGTAAATGGATTTATAATGATATTAAATGTATATCTTTTTTTTTTTAAGATTTTATTTATTTATTTGACAGAGAGATCACAAGTAAGCAGAGAGGCAGGCAGAGAGAGGAGGAAGCAGGCTCCCTGCCAAGCAGAGAGCCCGATGCGGGACTCAATCCCAGGACCCTGAGATCATGACCTGAGCTGAAGGCAGAGGCTTTAACCCACTGAGCCACCCAGGCGCCCTAAATGTATATCGTTTTTAAAGTGAATACTTGTCATGTCAGGTATTAAGTTCTTTACATGCACTACTTCTTTTTACCCTCTCACTGAAATCTGCTTGGCCTTTCAAACTGAACACAAACCCTCCAGAAAGCTTGCACATGGTATCAAATGGTGTTTGTTGAGATCCCCTTACAGATGGCACTCCACTAGCAGAGACTTGAGCAATGAAAACGTTCTTGGGAGAGGGAGCTAAAAGTGCTCTGTGCTCATTAAAGCAGGAGTCATTACGGTCCACAGATGGGTCCAAGAGAGTCTATAAACCACTCTTCCATCTTCAAATATACGTATATTTTTCTGTATTAATAGTTCAATCTCAGTTATTATCAAAAGAGACACAACCCTCAAAAAGTTAAGAACTACAGATTTAGGGGTGCCTGGGTGGCTCGGTCATTAAGTATCTGCCTTCGGCTCAGGTCATGATCCCAGGGTCCTGGGATTGAGCCCCACATCCTGCTCCCTGCTCAGAGGGAAGCCTGCTTCTCCATCTCCCGTTCCCCTTACTCGTATTCCCTCTCTAGATGTGTCTATCTCTGTCAAATAAATAAATAAAATCTTAAAAAAAAAAAAAACTACTGATTTAAATCCTCATTTTTAAACTCTGAGAAAGCTTAAAAGGAAGTAAGAGGTCCACTAAGCAAGAATTAAGTCTTATTACCATCTGAGTCTGCGGTACCATAATGATCGCAGAACAGTATGGTAATGAAACACATATGGGCCTGGCCATACCCTGATCAGCACAAGTCTATTCATTCTGACCCACATAATCACTGGTACTGACTTATTTCCACAGTCCCATTGATATGCTAGATCTATTCATGTTGAACATATTTTAAATATCACATCCCTCAACATCCCCTAAGGAAAAACATTTCCAAAGATTTAAGCATCTAAGTACAGGGGGGTTGGGGACTCAAGCGGCACTGAGGTGTGGTATGAGTGTGTGTGTACATGTTGTGTGTGTGTGGGTGGAGGTGGACAACAGTGGTGGTAGCTGGGTATGCGGATGGATGAGTGAAGGTCTTGAACATGAAAACATTAATTCCCCAGAGGCAATCCTTCCTGTGAAGGCCATCCTGAGCAGTAACACCCCAACACAAAGAGGACACAGAAAATATAGTAAGCCTTTTCTCTACGGCTCCTGCCAGGGCCCTCCCTCCTCTTCCCAGAAATTCTCATTCTCAGACTCAAATCCCCATTTCCCACCATGAGCCCATTCAGTGCACCAGACATTGTCTGCAGACTACTGGCAGTCATGGCTCCACAGAGCTGATCCTTGGCTGACAGGCATGGTGGACTGATTCTACTCTTCTACCTCAAGCGTAATGCTTTAATGGCTTAGAGGGGAAAAATGTATATGAAGCTGCAATCTGCTTTAGAACTCTCAAGTCCCTGGACCTGAACCTTTGAGTACTGCTCAAGTGTTATGCCTGGACCACCAGTTTCAGAATCAGGCATTCCCTGAAAAATGGAGATTCTTAGCCTAAAACTACCTTATTACTGAATATGAATTTCTGGGCTGGGTCTGGGAACTTGGATTTTAACCAACTCCCCAGGTGATCCCGATGCACAGTTAGGTCAGAGATCCACTGCCCTGGCTCCCACCCTTTCCTTCCTGTCCCCCCACACTAAAGAGCAAAAGACACCCCCCGGTATACACTAGGGTCAAGCAGCCAACAAGTCTCCAGTCCATTTCCTGCTAGGTTCCTAACAGCAAACAGTGGGACCACAATAGTTGCCTAGCATACCAAGATTTCAGGGGCCCTGCAGATATCACATCAACCTCATAGCACACATTGTGAGATTTCCACCCAGAACCACAAGGAGGAAGTTCAGACAAACTCAGAGGCCACTTGGCCCTAGTAACCAGGAAAGTCAACAGGATCTGTTTTCATTTCAAGAAGAAATATCAAAATGTAAGTTCTTTTCCATATGTGGTTTTGTTCCCCATTTTTGTGGAAGGAGGTAGTATGGAACTGAATAAAGTGGATTTAATACACTTAGTTCTAATCTTATCATCATTCCTAGTTCAGGTAATTTTCTCTCAATCTTGTGTATGAATGTCTGGATCACAGTACTATCCTTTCTAGGCATCTAGAAAACACTCCTTCAGCTCCAAGTTTCTTTTCCTTCATAACAATGTAAACCATAATTACATAAATCTCTTATGTGTGAATTTCCAAGGACCAAGGTGAAAGGGTCAACTTTATTTTGGAATCAAGCAATAACTTTCTTTCCATATTCCCCTTCCCTGTGTCCCTACTAGCTACCATTCCTCAAAACAAAATAAAATGAGCAAAACTCTCTATGACCCTGTACTTTCCACATCAGCAGTTCGTGTTTTATTTTTTTATTTTTTTTTAATTTTTATTTATTTATTTGACAGACAGAGATCACAAGTAGGCAGAGAGGCAGGCAGAGAGAGAGAGGAGGAAGCAAGTTCCCTACAGAGCAGAGAGCCCGATGTGGAGCTTGATCCCAGGACCCTGGGATCATGACCTGAGCCGAAGGCAGAGGCTTTAACCCACTGAGCCACCCAGGCGCCCCAGCAGTTCGTGTTTTAAATGCATCTGGTTTTTCATAACAAAAATGGAGAGGAGGAAAGAGAAAGAGAAATCCAGAGGAGGGTGTGCAATGAGCAAGGGAAAATATAAAACAATGAAAGAGAACTGAAATAAATGAGTTCTTTCCAGCTCTACAAAGAATTGTGTTACTATCAAACACCATAATGGAATATAATCTACAGTAATAATAACCGAGGAGGGTATGTCAGATGCTATGCTAATCACTATATATAAATTAATTCATTTAATCTTGACAATTATATCACGTGGTAGGTATATTCTCATTATCCCATTGGGGAGATGAAAAGAACCAAGGCTCGAATAGGTTAAGTATCCTGTCTACAGTCACAGAGCCAGGATCTCAACCCAGCAGTCTATTGCTTCACCCTTACACATAAGACCACAGCAAATGTGGAGGTGCCCTACCCCCACAGAAAGCAGATACTGAACATTCCTCCTCTAAGCAGCAGAAAATTCCTACACAGAATCAAATAAGATCAAACCATAAAACGTTCTGTAAAGCCTGAAGTGTTTCATAGATGCAGTTACCACCAGAACACCATTCAAACAGCCAATCCAAAAGAAGAATATGACGATGTTCAATGTGACTATAGCTCACTTTTCTTCAGCAGAGGTTCTTCACATTTCTTCTGCTTCAAAATACTCAAGAGATGGAAAGGATGAGTTATTTATTTTATTATGTTAAGTTAGACACCCCACAGTACCCTATTTGTTTTTGATGTAGTGTTCAATAATTAATTAGTTGTGTATAACACCCAGTGGGTGATGAGTTTTTTAAAAGAACATAAAAGGCACCAAACATGGGGGCGCCTGTGTGGCTCACAGTCAGTTTAAGCGTCTGCCTTTGGCTCAGGACATGATCCCAGGGTACTGGGATGAAGCCCCAAATCGGGCGTCTGCTCAGTAGGGACTCTGCTTCCCCTTCTCCATTTGCCCCTCCCTCCCAACTTGTGCTCTCTCTCAGACAAATAAATAAGATCTTTAAAAAAAAAAAAACTTAAAGCACTAATCATAAAGAAAAAAGGAAATAAGATTTCAACAAAATGAATAATTTTCATTCATAAAAAGGTACCATTAAAAGAGTGAAAAGGCAAACTAAAGAGAAAGAGATGCTATAGTTTGTATCTCCAGTGAGACTCCTAACCAGAATATGTAAAGAATGCCCACAAATAAGAAAAATAAATGAACCCAATTAATAAAATGGATAAAAGACATGAACAGGCACTTTAAGGAGGACACACAAATGGCCAACAAACATAAGAAACAGGGCCCAACATGATGTCTCTTTGAAGAAAGGCAAATGAAACCACAATGAAACCCCCTCCTGAAGGGAGAGCATTCAGAAGACCACCAATACCAAGTACTGGCAAGAATACAGAGCCACTGGAACTCTCATATATTGCTAGAAAGAGAATTGATAAAACCATTTTGGCACTATCTACTAAAACTAAACATACACCTTACCTGCTGTAGGAACTAGAAATTCTACCTCTATGCATACATCCAAGAGAAATGAATGTGTATGTCCATCAAAAGACACATTCAAGAATGCTGTTTTATTTTTTTAATTAACATATAAGCAAATAACATGTATTATTTGCTTCAGGGGTACAGGTCTGTGAATCATCAGTCTTAACAT